CAGGAGCTATCAGCTCGCCTGCCTCGAGCTCCGGGACCTCCTGAACCCTAGAAGGAGGAGCAAGCGGAAGAAGCGCTCTCCCGTTCCCGCTGGGCCGCCGCAGCGCTCTCCCGTTCCCAGACTCTCAGCCCCGGCCCCGACTCGGCCAGTCCCCGCTCCGAGACTCATGGCCCCGACGCCCCCAGTCCCCGCTCCGAGACTCATGGCCCCGACGCCCCCAGTCCCCGCTCCGAGACTCATGGCCCCGACGCCCCCAGTCGGCGAGTCGTGAATCATGTTCTCGCTTGGTCTCTGAGTTATTTAACCTGTTTTTTGTTGTTCGTTCTGCGGATTGGCATGTGGGCAGGGTATGGTCTTGGCGGACATGGGATGAGAAGAGGGCCTCCAGCATCTGTTAAACTCGGGACACATGGCATAAAAAAATCCGTCATCTGGACCAGAAACCCTTGAATCTGGTTCACCTGTATACCACCCATCTTTCAGGCGTGGTAAAGTATACTTTATTTCTTAAAATATAGTCGTCACTATAAGTCTTTATTTTATTTTTCCCTGGAAAAATAGAAGTTAAACCCAACAGAAAATATTGGTTAATAAATATAGGTCAAGGGCGCAAATACCTGTTTTCAGATTATCCGAAACCCAATATTGTTACGGTCTTCCTGTTAGGTCAAGGGTTACAATTATACGATTTCAGTGTGGTGATCTGAATACAATCGTTTTTATGAATTCATACACCTCTACCAGTGTAACCAGAAAAAGACACGTTATCCTCGTTAAAGACTCAATTAGCTGACAGAATTTGCTAATTTCTTCAGTTTGCTCCCGCTATTACTATTAAGTTCCAAATTCATGTTTTTGTAATCTGTTATCACCCGTTACAATTGAGAACATCCCATTTGAAATCAGAATATCAACTTTTTACCCGATTTGAGTGAAAATCTTCCTTGGTTGGATTGTGTTGAAGTCAATCAGGCCTTTTTTGGTCACCGGACGCCTCTCTGAGTGTGACGAGGTATAGGGAATCACTTTTTTTTTTTGTGGATCCTGAGGACTTCAAAAGAAGGTCACAACAGCTACGTGCTCAGCAGACTACCAAGAACCTTCCTCCTTTCACAACAGGGCCAGGCAGTTCTTAAAGGTGGCCTCCAAACCAACTTGTTATGTCTCTACAGCCAAGAGACTAGCATCAGTGTGAGACACTCCAGCTCAATTCCTTTTCATGGCCCACACCATCCCAGCACTTGCAATCTATAAACTTGTTCGTTCAATTAAACATTTTGAAGGGTAGGCTTCATACATTTTTGCCATTACAGAACTCAATACAAGTACAAATATAACATACAATGATTTGAATCGAACAGATGTGTGTTCTACTGACAAGGTCAGTGATTGAATTAGGAACCAGAGAGGTAAACAAAGAGAAGCTGGAGATCAGCGACGGATTAGTAGAAAAAAGAAGAGAGGTTTTGGACACCTTGGCATTGCAGTGTGGTGGCTCTGGTTCGTCCTTCGTCACCTCTCACAAAAGAGAGCAGCTTGTACCGTTGTCTATGTTATTGGCCCTATCTTTGTGTGTGCGCTGCACATGGCGATAAGTCCCAGCTTTAATCCAAGCCTGTGTCTAGGGACTGTTGCGAGTGATATCAAATAAGAAGGCTGTTTATCTCCACAAACAATCCTTTCGTGACTGGATTTGGCACCTTCTCCCTCTAACAGCAGCTAGGGTCAGTCCTCTTGTGTTAGAGCTGCACGCAGGCCTGGGTAATGATTGCAGATACAGTTCATATAAGCTATGGGTGTTACCTCCAGCCTTTGTTTACCGAGTCAATCAGACACTCTGTTAAATGGAGTTACATGTTGTTTTTGGTGTCCCCCCCCCTTCTCAACTGATCGACCCAGGACCAGGAGTTCACAACTTGTCCTGTCCTGCAGGTGAATAATGAGAGTTCCTGTATCAGGGTGTTTCACGTTGTAGCGATATTGGGTGTGTATAAAGGCATATAGGATGCAAAAACATACTGACAGATGGGGAAAGACAATACGGGAGAACAGATCTTATCAACCCATATTTAGCGCAGAGGTTTAAAGGCCTCACCCTTTTCCCAGTGTGTGGATAGTGTGGAGAGATGGAGGTCAAGGAAGTGCAAAGAATAAGGAACGCAGGATCAGGATTGTTTAATTGATCGACGAAACATTGATCGACGAAAGATTTTTCTAGTTATGTCAGAATCTGCAAACTCATATGGGGCGCCGTTTGTAAAATGTTGCACACTTTAAAATTCTGCGCAATTTTGGTAGATTTAGCATTGTCATGAAAAAATATATTCATGTCACTTTTTCAAACATTTAGAGAGAAATTCTTCGATCCATGCAATAACTTTTCCAATGATAATGTTTGGCAGTAACACAAAGTTGTTAAATAATATAAATGTAAATGTAAATGTTCAATGTAAATGTAAACGTTAAAAGTTAATATAAATGTAAATGTTCAATGTTCAATCTACATGTCAGACTTGACGACTAAACATCAATATTTACGGTAATTTACACCGCAGCAAGACAAGATGGCAAGTCTGAATGAATTCACTCTTGTTATAGAACAGGGGTGCCAAATTAATTTTAGCTAGGGGGCCACATACTGTATGACTAAGCATTCGCATTAATGTGAAGAAAATGACAGATTTGTGATTGTTAAATGGAGGCAAAATGGCCAGCAGCTCCCAAGTACATAGGGGAAATGGTCGTGACAAGAGTCTGAAGCTGTGTGTTTCTGTTGGTATGGATTCAGTTAGAGATTACCAGGCAACCTTTAACAATAGAATGCAGGAAATAATTCATATGCAACCATAGTTTGCGAGAACAATGACCGCTAAGCCTTTGAGCAGTGTTGTTTCTTGTCTTGTTATCAAGAAATCCACACTGTTTAAACAAGATAAGGCAAGTCCCTACACAGGTGTGTAGCCGTTCAAGATCAAGGCTTTTGAGTCAACATGTGTAACACCTGTATCGATAAGCAACTCAAAAGTTTGTCCACTAAAATCTTCAGACAAAGACTGAGAGATGAATAGGGCTGCATATCTGTCTCTCTTTCCCCAAGACTAATAGTTTTAAGTAACTGTCAGGACCTTGATTAATTATGCCCAATGTGATATCTCATCAATCAACTGTTCATTAACCATGTGAGTTCATCTATTCTGAGGTGACCTGTTTGCCTTACAGTTGGTTGCATTAAGCGGACAATAACTAATTTGTCTACAATCGGTATATTCTCGTCTTATCAGCACAATATATCTCACCTATACATTTGCTGCTGTGAACATGCAATGGCTATCATCTGCCATTCAGAAGACCATACAGACCAACCGCCATTGATCCCATAGAAAGTCATGCGGTTATGTCTCGCGGCTTAGAGATGAAGGTTGCGTGACAAAATGAGGAACAAGATTCATGAACCGTGGGTAAATAGAAAAAGGGCTGAAGAAGATCTATGACCAGAGAGGAAAGGAGATATTCTTTCAAAAGACAACCGGAAAAAGAAGGGCTCATCAGCTGGCGCCCTGCTATTCAGTGCTACGGGTTTGAATACATTATATTGAGAGACAAAAGCTTTGCAGAGTATGCCCGTGCATGCTTGTATGAGCCACTAAATGGAACGTTGTCAATTTACAAGTTAGCATCCATCGTGTACGCCAGGGGTGTCAAACTCATTTCAGGTTTGGGGAGGGTCGAGATCAGCCTCGCCTTGTTCGCAGTATGATATAAAATTATTTTGAATTATAATCATAGTTTCGACAGTGTATTAACGAGGACCCGCAGGTAGCAGGTAACGTTTATTTACTTTATTTGGAAATAAAAGTGAGTTACAGAACATGAAGCTACAAAACCTAGAAAAAGATTGTGTCAACAATGGTCTGAAAAGCATTAGTACTTATTACAACTATACAACAGTTATGTGATCCACATGCTCAAACTTTAAAAGGCTATTGGCCACAACTTAAGTCCACCGGGTTCGTATTCAGAGGACACAGAGCTGGCATGATTGTACCTGCCAATTTTGGTGAAGGCAGGCCAAGTCATTTGGAAGTTATGTGTCTCATACCATGATTGACATCTTTGTAGACCATGTCCAAGAGCACATGTGTTAATCGGGCATCGACTGACTGAGCAAAAACTGGCCTTGTGTGGTATTTTCCAAATTTCTTTACACCCCAACATTTTTCACCAGTCACTTTTTGGATATGATAAAGGCTCCCAGAAGGCAAATGATTCGGGAGAGAATAATAATAGTCCTTCCATCCATCCATCCATTTTCAAACCGCTTATCCTCCACACAGGGTCGCGGGGAGTCTATCCCAGCCAACTTTGGGAGAGAGACAGGGTACACCCTGGACTGGTCGCCAGCCAATCGCAGGGCTAACACAGAGTAATACGACCGTTCACACTCACATTCACACACTTATGAGCAATTTAGAGTCCCCAATTAACCTGATCCCCAGAGCATGTCTTCGGACTTTGGACTGTGGGAGAATAATAATAGTAATTCCTTGAAATACAACAGGTTCCTCTACGACTAGTCGTAACGAGGACCCTAATAATAATAATAATGATGCCTTGAAATACAATAGATTCCTCTACGACTAGTCGTAGCGAGGACCCTAATTAGAGATTTTGTCAACATTTTTTCTTCTCATTGAGATCAAAATAACACATTTTTCTTTCTTGATGAGGGAAATATGTTAAGATGTAATCTGAACAGTCAAAGTCATCTTCCATTTGAACGGCTTCTTCTTTGATATTTTACATACACATGTTCAAATTACATTTTAAAATATTTCTCTACTATTATATTCTATTTACAACACATGTAGTAATTGTAAAAACATTAATTGTATTTATTGTCAAATCTTGTGGGGTGACATTCCAGTCTTTATGTTCACTGTGCTTTTGATTGTCATTGAAGAATGGTCATTGTGTCTGGCCAGTTTTAGGACAGGTTCTGGACGGGTGCAGGACAGGTGTTGAACAGGTTGACTCCACATCAGGATACTTTCATACTCTTTTCAGGTTTCTTAAATTCTGCCGTTAACATATCAGTCTTTCTCCTTCCTTAGACAACCATTTTGAGTTTAGTTAATGGTCCTGGTTTGTTTTCACATTAAACAACATTGCAAAGTGTCTTTCCACTCATGTGCTCACCTCAACTACTGAAGTTAATGACACCACACGCCATTGTTATTTTAAATTGCTTCTTCAAGTGGATTTTGATTTTTATTGCAATACAAAAATAAGATTCATATGGTGCGACCAAAAACTTCTCCAAAGGGACACAATAAAGGCACGTCTACTCTGAACTCATTTAAACCAGACATGTTGCCTGTTACACACAGACTGCAGCTACTGAACACCACTCAAAGAACTGTTTGTCTTTACGGATTATTTCAGAATTAACTTCACAATGTTCTTCACATACAATATATCTTTCCGGAGTTCTGTGTAATTTGAGGGTCAAACAATTGTGCAACATGTTTCTTTTACCTAGTGATGGGACAAAAAGAAATTGCAAGTGATGTGCAATTCATTGAGCCATTAATGGATGTACACTTTATGAATTGTCCACCATATGTTCTAACTGCTTGCTACGTCCCAGTTTCAATTCCAGCTGGGGGCCTTACTTGCATTTCATTTACCCCGTCTTGCTCCATTTCTTTCCTGTCACTTTAAAATTGTGAGCTATTGAATAGAGTGAGAAATGCTATAAAAAACAATGAATCAATTGAAAATACAATTTTTGATAATTTGATATTTATATTAATAATTTGGCACACACACTTTATACATTAGTCAAATTCCTTCTTTGCAAAGTGAGCTTGAAAACAGGGTCCTTTGTTGATTTCTCTCTTAAACAATACAGCTTAAACACTTTATTTTCATTATTTTGTGGTAGCCCAGCAGAGGTTCTTCGTGTCTCAGGTGTCCACCAACAGCTTATTTCATTGCATTTGCCAAGACATCTACATTTATGCACATCCACAATATCAGCAATACATACACATTCACTCTCACACACTCTAAAGCGTCTCTGAGATGTTGCTGTTCTTGTATAGAACGAAGAGGCTCTCTGAGAGAGTGAAATTAGGCACTGAACAATCACACCATGGTGCTTTTCACTCTTTCAAATATCTGTCTGACTTTTTCGGCAGGGACACAGCCTTCTCTCAGAATGGCGATGGTCCCTGTGGAAACGGTTAAATAGGCTTGAGTTAGAAAGTGGCAGCGAAAACACAAAAAAAGAAAGAATGTACTAGGAATATCTGACCTTCATCAATCTTCAGGCAGTTGACCACGGTGGAAGCAACAACTTCATTAGAGTCTCCATCACACAGAACCCCTTGAATCTTGTGCCCCAGTCGACTGTTGGAAGAACAGATGTGTGACTGAATGTGCATGTAGTTTATTTGCAAAATGCCACACATTTGTCACAGCTACACTGAGATTAATCTGCAGTAAAGATGAAAGGTTAGTTCTGTGAGGAGACACTGACTTGATGACCATGGTGTGGTGAGTGCTGTCTGGCTCTCCGCTGGGGTTCGCCGAAGTAATAGCAAGGGGCCCCGTGATGTCACACAGGTGGCACGTCACAGTGTGGTCAGGGACACGGATCATGATGCTGTCCTTGGTGCCGACACGATCATAAGCTGGTCCCACTCCTACTCAAAATGAGTTGAAAAGGTAAGGGGAAATGGCGGTGATTTGAATGTAAAGGCTGAAACTTTTATTTATACAGCCATAAAACAGAAAGGTTTACCTAGTCTGAGTAGCCAGTCTCCTTTGCTGACAATGCAGCTGATGCCTCCTGGATAAACATTCCTCATAAACTCCCACAACAAAAGGCTGAAGGGAGGCTTGGCTGTCACCAGCTGCTCCACATTAGCGATGCAAATGCAGATGGGCTTCTCGGCTGGTCGGTCCTGTGTAAGTTCACAGTGCACAGGTTGAGGAATTTTACATCAAAGTCTGGATTTAGTGCTTAGTATCAAATTTTGCTTCTAAATGCCACCAAAATGGCACCTTTGTCCCTCTTACTTTAATATTGTAGATTTTTTCTATAGCTTGAGGGTTCTTGCAGGAGGCAGCCAGGGCATACACAGTGTCCGTAGGAATACCACACACTCCGCCTGCCTCCAGAGTGCCAGCAATCTTCAGGAGACCACTGGTGATTCGGGAATGGTGAACAGGGCAGGGCAGTTCTGCAGCAGACTCCTCCTTCGCTTCCGCCTGAGAGAGGGACATTTGGGGGGGAATTATGTATATGAATATGAAAGCCCATTATTCAGTTAGCAGAGAAATGCAAAGGGTGTCTTGATTGGTTACCTTTATTAGAGGAGGGCCCATAGGTAGCAGCCTCTGGGAGAAGATGCAGTTCACCAGTGATGCCAGAGCTCCATATATACAAATTGCTGTGAGTAGTACAAGCATGGCAACTGCAAAGACAATGACAATAACCACATGGATTTTTTTTTCAGATAATATTCACATTTCAGCCGTATTTCTTTAAAAGTCAAACAAAATACAACCGAGGCTTCAGCTACACATACTTTCTAGTCCAAGGGGCAGTCGATGCAGAGTGGACAGCAGCAAACACACCAGAACAACCTCCATGACTGTTGTTAGAAACAGCAAAACTAGGTTCCTGAAGGCAGCTGACAGAGATGATGGAAGAAAGAAATCAATCTCAAACATAATAATTGCATTCATTTGAACTCAAAAGAATCTTGTTGATCTTACCAATCAGCATGAGGAAAGCATTAATGACCAGAAGAGCAATGGCTCCTGCTGTGAAAGCATAAGCCGCATGTCTCGAAAACTGAAGCAAGTCAGCTGGAATAGAAACATGTGGGATCAGAATTGTTTGTGATTTACAGGTTTCAATTGAATTAACATTAATAATAATTGATATTTACATGTTGGTATTGACATACCTGCAAACCTAAACCAGGTCCAGGTTGCCCATACTGCTACATAGATGGATGCGATGACCGACCCGAACCGACCAGTTCCTGTCACTTGCAGACGGCTGACGTAGGCCTGGATGATGCCTCCAGAAATTAAGACCCAAGGGACAGTCAGATGAAGGAAGGTGGGATTTGTGGTCGCTGAATTTATAGTGAGAGCTGAGAAGGCTGCAACTCCATTTAAAAGGTAGAATAGAGCGTCTGAGGCCTGGTCCATTTGGGGAAGCGACTCCTGGTCTCCCTTTTCGGCCCTGTAGCAGTTCAAAGCCTTCTTCAACTGGTCAGAAGAGATGGGCTGTGGTCCTACGCGGATTAGAGCCTTCTCTGCTATGCTGTTTATAAGACGGGCAAAAGTACCATACAGGGAGACTGCTGTGAAGAGGGAGCATGCTATACCAAAAAAGATGTAGTATCCCTTGAGAGGAATCTGAGGGATTGTGGCGACTGTGAGCAGGACAAACAGCATGTTGTGGATGAGCTCCAGGACATCTGTGTTGAGGCCTGCCACACACAGCACCACGCCTGCCATCACAAAGAACCAATCTCCCACCATCATTGCCCTTCCCGAGATTACAATAGTGTCCTCCAAAACCAGAGCAGATACCACAAACTCATCCCAAGCCTTGATCAGCCAATATGTTGCATGAAGACCAAACTTAGTTGTGTGGTAGCAGTCTTGGCGCAGATGGGCATAATAGCTGGAGAACAGCTGGGCAACTGTGATGATTGAGATCCATGCGGCTCCTAAACCAAAGGATTTCATGTACCCAAAGCTGTAGAAAGCAAAGATGAAGGGGGCAACTGTGTCACAGAAGAAACCCAAGGCCATGGGCTCTGCATATTTTGTGTTTTTCTTCTTCTCTTGGCCAAGGTTCTGGGCCTTTCCTGAGTTGCCGGTCCCTAGGAGGAGAACATTAAAGAGGGGGGTACCGAAGCCTTTGAGGGCTAGACGTTGAGTCAAGCCTTTGATGAGCAGTACAGCTGAACCATAGATGGCGAAAATCAAAATGAGCAACTCCAGAACCCCAGAGACCACGAGAGCCCAGGAACTTGATACCATACCCACTGCTTCAAAAACTAATGTGGCAGTAATGGCTCCGAAAACAAAAGGCATGATGTAGTTTACTGTGGCAGAGCAAAACGCAAGGATAAAGGACAAAAGAATGAAGGGGACCAGACCAGCAATGGCTGATTCTTTTAAGGACATGTATAAATAACAAACTGGGATCTCAGTGGTGGCGTTCAGAGATATGTTACTGAACATGTTGGTGGACAGCGACAAATTGCTCATCTGTTGTGGCACAGATGTTGTTATAGGAGTTACAGTTAAGGCCCCAAAGAAGATTCGGGTGGCACCAAAACTGCTCCAAAGAGCAGCATACCCAATGAAGGCAGTGGCACTCAGATGGTCGTACTTTCTAAAGGAAAGCAATCCGGCCACCATTTGGCATAAACCACCAATGAGGATGAGATGAACACCTATGAAAAAACAAGTAATAGACAATATTAAGACTGTTATTCCTGGTAAGAAATGTACTCAACACGAGGTGGAAAATGCCTGCATGTGCTCTGAAAAAATGATGCTGGTGGATGTATTGTTCGTTTGTTTCTTCAAAACATGCAGCCAGTTCAATAAGATACGTTTTTCTTACTTTTTATTGTATAAGTACCGCATATTTTCTAAAACTTTTACCTGCAAGTATGTTCTCCACCCCGACTGGTGCAATACCAGTGTGTGCTGTATTGAAGTTTTGTAGAAGTACGAGGAATGCACTGATCCCATTAGATAATATTCCCAAGACTCCTGGTTCGCCATAGAAACTGGCTGGAAATCCGTCTGGTGTTGTCATCATGTCTCTGTTGAAAAGCCGTTCCACTGAGATCATAAAACAAATGAAGCAGAAAACATATCCATGAACATATTAGTATTTCCCATATAACCATAATAATTAGTGTACTTACCATAATTAGCAAGTGTATATATATATATATATATATATATATATATATATATATAACATGCAATATTAAATGCAGAGATCACCCAAACACTATTTGAGAATATTGTCTTACGATTGGTTGATTTATTTTGATAAATAATTTATTACATCATCCTTAGTAAAATATTATTTTTATATTTAAGGTCTGAATTTTAAATGTATTATGTTTAATAAAATATTTAAATCCATCATAACTTTAAGGAAGATAAATATAATGTAAAGTGCAGATGACAAATTGTTGAATACTAAAAACTCAATTAAGCAAAGTTTGCCTCATGTCCCCGAAGCATTGACAGCATTAAGTCAAATAGGTTAAAAAAAGGAAAAGGAACACGCAGTGGAGTAGCTGCATTCAACTTCCCTGTGCAGATAACGAAAGCAGTCTGTGTCCGCGGAATTAAGCATTTCATTGATAATTAACAGACAGATATATTGACATTAACCTAAAATACAGGTAATGGTTTTTATGTTCATTATATATTACATATGCACACATACACATATTGCTTGATTATATTAGGTTTAATTTTTGCATCATCATCATTTGAACTGCATGTTAATATCATTGATCAATTAGATTTATTTTTATAACTTGAATATGAAATAATGTTTTTGTGAAAATGATGAATACAGAAAATTAAATTAAAGACTTACCTGGTGAGTGACACTCTGGCAGATGAACTCGAGTGGTTCTTCTTAAGGCACTTTGGCATTAAAAGCCTCTCCTTGCCCATAGGAGGAGTTCCTTGAAATTCACCAACACTACCCGTGACCTCACAGGTCACTTTCCCTCACCTTACACAATAGAAGCCCTTCTTCCTCCCCTCTTGAGGAATAATAATGATAACATAAAGATCAGAAAGATGATGACAATGACCATTGTTTAAATTTCTAAATTTACTTTAGATATTACAGGTTATGTGACTGAAAGACCTGCCTTACTTGTCCCTCCCAGATTAGTTTCGGTAGCCTCCGTGATACTGACTATATATGCTGGTAACCTCTCATTCTGAAAAGCATCAGCATCTTTGCAACAACCAGTTGACTGCAAACCTGCAACATTTATAATTAAGAAAAAAGAAGAGCAACAACAGACTGAAGCCATGATCTCCACATTACAGGTAATAACAAATGTATAGATATTATATTATGAAAAGGATCTATATAATTGTACATTTTATGTTATGCTTAAAAATGTTTAACTTTCAGTGCAGGATTCAATACAAAACTATAAAATCTCTCTGTAGCTGGAAGTGTTAGGAACATGTCACACATATCATACCGGGCACAAAGACTCTTTATTCTAAATATGCAGCAATATGCTCCTGAATATTCATTCTTGTGAGGCCAATGTCCACAAACGTTTTTAGGGAGAAAATAACCTCTAACGAATCTGTAATGCAAATATTGTGGTTGTTTACAGATAAAAAGTATGATGCATACATGTGTTATCTATTTTCCTGTAGAAAACCATAAGACCAGTTTGGGCTGTCAGAGGACTGCATCGGTCTGCAGTGGAAGGTAAAATGATCTTCATCCTCTTTCTGTCGCAATCAGAATTACAAACAACATTTCTAAACCTAGTCATGGTTACTTACGGCTAATCTTATCTTTGGTGACTACATTTCTCACAATTTCCCCCTGCAGACTTGAAGCGCCCTGCCCCGGAGGACACCGTCACAGCCAGCTATGGGAAGTTCATCAGTGAAGTAAAGCCCCAACACTTGTCCCCCGTCGTGCTCCACCGCAGCAAAAGGATGGTGCTGGACAGCATCGGAGTCGGTCTGATCGGGAGCACAACAGACGTGTTTGAGCTGGTGCTGCGGCACTGCCAGGTGAGTCAAAGGGGGAAGAACTAACTTTATGGTATTTACTCAAGCATGATCCAAGCTGTTTGACCTTAGCACCCAGTTAAATAGACGTGTGGAAGAATGAATACAAAATAAAAATATTATCGTCGTTGACGTTGACGGCTATACACATAACTTCAAAAGAAATTACTCAGCTTTTGACTGAAGAGTGATATGAAGTAACATTAATTAATTAATTATATATATATATATATATATATATATATATATATATATATATATATATATATATATATATATATATGTAATTAATGTACATGTAAAAATATCCTTCTTTTTTCCCTCCAGCACATGTATGCCCCTGATCACATCAGCTCTGTATATGGCCGCGGGGGCACCAGACTCTCACCGATACTTGCGGCTTTCGTCAATGGAGTGGCTGTGAGTATGAATATGTGGGACGGGTCCGTAAACATTCACAGAGCAAATTAATAAACCAATTAGGTGACAAAAAATACCAGGATGGGTCCAAATGGTCATATTCTCCCTCAATATTATTGAAAATTTGATTGGCCCAATCTGACAAGTGTGTTTATCTCTCTGCTCACTAAAGTCAAACAGTAGGCATTGACATGTGCCATTCATAAATAAAAACATAAGTATTCACAACTAGCTTCATGAAGCATTGTGATCACGTTTACTATGATAAATAAAATGTGTTTTTTTGATCTGTGCAGACTCACTCCATGGACTTTGATGATACATGGCACCCTGCCACTCATCCCTCGGGAGCGGTCCTTCCTGCTGTGTTAGCTCTCAGTGACATGCTGCCTGCTAACAGTAAACCCAGTGGTCTGGATTTCCTGCTGGCATTCAATGTCGGCCTTGAGATCCAGGGCAGATTGTTGAGGTTCTCTAATGAGGCCCAGAACATCCCAAAGAGGTAAGCACCTCATGAAGTGAGTCAAAAAGGCTGGTTTACAAGGAGGCCAGTGCAGTGTAATGTGCAGCCCCTTAGTGGTGTCTGTGAGCCGTGAGAGGTATGTAATTATGTTCATCTCAAGGACACCATGGGCACTGTGGCAAGTGTAGCACAATAAGCCATGTTGAGGAGATCATAACTTAAGAGAAAAGTAACAGTATTTTCCTTTTGTCCTTCTCACCACCAGATTTCACCCTCCAACTGTGGTGGGGACCATGGGAAGTGCGGCGGCATGTGCTCGCCTCTTATCTTTGGATCACTCCCAGTGCGGTCATGCCTTGGCTATAGCTGCTTCTCTAGCAGGAGCCCCAATGGCCAATGCAGCCACTCAGTCCAAACCCCTTCACATCGGTAATGCCTCGCGCTTAGGGCTGGAGGCTGCTCTGTTGGCCTCCCAAGGCCTCGAAGCGAGTCCCTTGATCCTTGATGCCGTCGCAGGTGTGGCCGGCTTCAGCGCTTTTTATGAAGACTATGTGCCGCAGCCTATACCATCACCCGACGCTGATGGCCACGTGTTTCTGCTAGAGAAGCAGGACATTGGCTTTAAGAGCTTCCCTGCACATCTGGGGATGCATTTCGTGGCAGATGCTGCGGCCTCTGTCCATAATCTTCTTGTGGGCGTTGACCATGGCACTGTTTCTCAAGCTAAAGTCCAAGAAATCCTGCTCAGAGTTCCCAAATCAAAGTACATCAACAGGCCATTCCCTGAGTCTGAGCATGAGGCCCGTCACTCGTTCCAATTCAATGCTTGCACCGCTCTCCTGGACGGGGAAGTGAATGTGCAGTCCTTCTCACCCGCTTCCATGAGACGCCCTGAGCTGCTCGCTCTGCTGAGCCGTGTTCACGTTGAACATCCCAAAGACAACCCAGCTAGTTTCAACAGCATGTATGGCGAAATCCAGGTGACACTGGTTGGGGGTGAGGTTCTGAGAGGACGCTGCGACACCTTCTACGGTCACTGGCGCAACCCGCTGAGCAATGAAAGCCTAAGGAAGAAGTTCAGAAACAACGCAGGGGCTGTGCTCCCCTCAGAGAAGGTGGAGGCGCTGATTGATGCAGTGGAGGAGATGGACAAACGGGAGGACTGCTGCGCCCTTCTCTCACATCTGCACTGAATCCTTACAGACAGCTACACAAATATATCTTATATATGATGCAAATACTGAAACATCTCTTGGGCATAATGTTTCTTGTCATTAATCATTTTATAAAATAGTATCATGGTAATGCTTGATGCGTGGACTTGTAAATTCATGTAACTAAATACATAAACAAGTAAATACAACAAAAGTATCCCTTTGAAAAGTTTTTTTTAATTGTTTAATAAAAGCACCAACAAAAATAAACGGTGTGGGTAATTAAATTGAAGGAAAATAAATGTGAGAGAAAATGTGCTCACTAAACTTTAATTTCAACACAAGCTGTATGAGGAAATACAACGAACTGTATTTTCCGAGAACAAATAAATCCTGGTGTGAACATGTGCGTAAAAGAAAGTAATAGTGTGTTTGCAAAGTAAAGCAAATTACCCCTTACTAGGTAAACCCCAGCCAGTTAATCATTCAAAACCAAGTGGATGTCCGCAGTTGTTAGTGTCTTTCAATTGAATGAAACTCGCCAGTATTGGTGCTTCCAACAGAGAAAACAGAAGAATATTCTTAAATCAGCCCTGCGTGTTCAAAATGTAGCAGGAGAACACGTGCAGTTTGACAATAAATGGGAAGTAATTGAAGAATCATTCCAATCTTTGAACCCGTCAGTTTCTATCGACCAACAAGGACTAATAATTAAAGATGAGCCCATCAGCACCAGCGGTGAGACTGATGGCATTTTTTTGACAGGGCCCTAAGAGCGTTATGGGGTCATAAGTACCAGGCAACAGGGAAAAGTATATTTATTTGGGGTTAACACTGACCTCAGGACACTTAAGAAGTTTCCTGTAATGTTGACTGGTTATAGTTTGACACTTCAATGAGATTGTGGTCTGGATCTCTAAAGTAAAGAGAGGCGATGTTTCCCACTGCTCCGGTCCTTTCCACTGGGCCCTCCTCGATCTGCACACCACAAACCTGCACAGAAGAGAGTAACCATCTTGCAAGTTCATGATTGACGTTAGCAATTCAATTCAAGACCTGTGGGAGACAGGTGCACAACCTTCAGATGTGCAGCTACGGTAGCCAGGGGGGTGCTGGTGATGAGGCACAGATCTGCAGAACCTGGAGTTGGATGTTTGGCTTTGGGCTCAAACTCCTGACCCAGCTGGTGAAGGTTAAACTTCTGCTGCCCAAATGTCAGGGCCTTGCGGGTTCCCTTGAGAATGAGGAGACAACATTTGAGAATGTTGAAAAGTCGCTCGCAGCGAGGAGACGGATGCAATCAACCGGCATGCAATCCAATCCTGACATCTAGTGGAGGTTCTCTCAAAAGAGTTATTTAACTTGTCCTGATCAATGGGAAATAATGCATGAAGGACATTAGACAACTTTAGACCTATTGGCGAATGTTCTACGAATACTCGAATGAGTAATAATGATGCATCCTATTTATGCACAAAGCACCTTGAAAGTGACGACCTCCATGCCAAGGACAGAGGAATAGAAGTTGATGGTGTCTGGTACACTTTTCACTGTAAGAACCAAATGATCGAGATGGCTCACTTGAATTGGACACGTTTGTTTTAATCTCACTCCAAGTGTTTGGATGGAGACAGTCTGCTAGAAATAAGACAAATACGTTTGAGTTATAATAACAAAGGCAAAATAATATATACCCAGATCAACAGCGCCGCTGCGTGGTCATACATGTGTACAGCATCCTGTGAGCAACCGAACTGAGGAATTCCAGCACTAGCAAATTAGATTTGCTAGACCGTAGATTAGCAAACCGTAGGCTAGCAACGAGCTAGCTTACAGCTTCAGCCCTCACATGTAAAAGTAGCGTTACGGTAACGTTATGCGTACACAATCAGCCAGTTATCGTGGTAACGGCTTCTCTACTGTAAACCCTTGACGGGCTGCCGGTAACGTCACTTCCGCCCGTACAAAGTCACTTGAGGCTAGAAAGTGTCGGTGAGAAAATAAATGTAGCGTTGGTGGTTATCCAAACAGTCAGGTAGTTGATTAAATTACATTGAGACGGTTCCTCTGAAGGTGCAACAACGGAGTCCCCGCCCTCAGCAGCGCCATCCTTCCCGGCGGTGTGACACGGTCTCTTCCGGGTTTCTCCACCTGTGCACTGTGAACCTGCTGCAACACGTGGTTGGCCATAGCGAGGGACGACTATGACATTGGGGGTGTGGGGGGTGTGTGTGGGGGATGACTGCTAGTCAGAACCGTTATTCTTCAAGAGTAATGTGCATCCGGAAAGTATTAACAGCGCTTCACCTCCTACACATTTCGTTATGGTAAAGCCTTATTCCAAAATGTATTAAATTCCCCCTGCAATTTTTAAGAATTCTTTGCAAAAATATTTAAAATAAAGAACGAAGATATAACATGTACATAAGGAATGTAGAAATGCAATTTTTGTATTCACAGCCTTTTCCACGACACTCAAAACTTGAGCTCAGGTGCATCCTGTTCCCACTGATCATCCTTGAGAGGTTTCTACAAACCATTGCAAAAATTGTTGCAGCATTAAATGTCTTAATGCCCACAGTGGCCTCAATCATCCGGAAATGGAAGTTAAGTTTACATTACATTAACTCATCTAATGACCAATCACTGTTTGTCACCTGGCCAATACCATCCCTACAGTGAAGCACGGTGGGGGCGGCATCCGTCTGTGGGGATGTGTGTCAGAGGGAGGAACTTAAGAGTTGTCACGATTGAGGGAAAGATGAATAAATTTACAAAGACATCCTCAATGAACACCCGCTCCAGAGCGCTCTGGAACTCAGGCTACAGCGACCCGAAGCGCACAGCCAAGACAACAGACGAGTGGCTTCGGGACAACTCTGAATGTCATTGAGAGGCCCAGCCACAGCCCTGACTTGAACCCAATTAAACAGCTCTGGCTGCACATCGAGCTCCTCATCCAAACTGATGGAACTTGAGAGGTTCTGCTAAGAAGGATGGGAGAAACAAGCTTTTAGCAGCATAGTCAAGACTACATGAGACTGTAATTGCTGCTTCAACGAGTATTAAGCAAGGAATGTGAATACTCACGTACCGGTTATATATAGATATTTTCTTTTATAAATTTGAAAAAATTGTGTGTAAAAGGTAATTAAATCCATTCCGGAATATGGCTGTAATATAACAAAATGAAGCGCTGTGAATACTTTCCAGATGTATTCCACTGCATGATTACCGTACACATAGAAGTATATATCGTGACAGAGCACTGGAACAATGGGTGTGATCTTTAATGCTAACAGAGGGGCCACCAATCATCCCCTACTAGCCCTTAACACCATCATTCAAAGTAATCTGCTTTGCCTTCCAAGAGAGTGACTAATTCAATTCTGAGAAGCTCCAACATGAAGGGGATGGGAGAAAAAAGAAAAAAAATCAATGTCAGATGAAAGCAAAAGTGCAAATATAGAATATTTGAATGTTTTAATAGAATTGTTGATATTATAATAGCTCAATGTGTGCAAGTTATCGCAGAATAAAATTACCCCACTCCACAGAGTGTAAAGAATGCATACCTACGATGCATTTTGTAGCATAACTTGTTTAATTCAGCGGTTAGTTTCATTTAACACCCAGTTAACACTAGGTGACACAGAACAAGGCCAAAACTAAAGAATGGCTTAAGAGGGAACATACATTTCATTTACATATTTATGATATTCAACAATGACTGTCTTGCATTGAAACTTTTATGTCCCATAAGGGAAGTAATAATTGTGGCAAAGACATCAAACAGCGGAACAAGAAACATGACAGGATGGCATTAATAGTGATGCCCTTTTCTTAACTTTAGCCAGTGTCCCTGATCAACAGTGCTATTAAAACCTACAGAACTTCAAAATAACTTCAACACATTTAAAAAAAAGAAATTAGTCTTCATTTAAGATTTTAGCCATTAACAACAGTTTTCAACAATAGCATATATTTATATCATGGTTTGTATTTCACGATTCACTTTAGCATGTATTGCACACTGATACGGAGTATCTGCTCGTGGGGCTGGAGGAGTGCACAGTGGTGATCCTCTTTCTACTGGAGCCTTACTATGACAGAAGGGCAACGCTGTGAATTGGTAAATGTGTAACACTCAAACCCTTCAGTAAATAAGTTAAGTTGTCGTGTGTACTTTCAGGTGGACTTCCAGGTAAGAGATCTCGTTATAGGTGACATTTCATTTCAAGTCATTTCAATCGGTCTCTTGGGTCATCTTGGAGAAGTTCATCAATCAATAATTAAAGAAAATCCAATATGTTAGTGGAAAAATAAAGAATCAGACCATTAGATAATAGATGACTGGGAAATCATTGTTTTACATTAAAAAGTAAGCATCTTTTTACATTTGGGGAGAAACACGTATATTCAAATTGTTTTACACGTCATGCCCGTGAGAGGATTTTTGAGGTGAGTAAATTTACATGCCAACAACTTGATGTAAACCCAATATTGACATCCAATATTGAGTCATTATTCCTTTATGGAATGAATGCTACTCAATTGTTTCAATGATCAAGAAAATAAGGATGCTATGATTCCAAAATAAGCTTTTGCAAAACTAGCCTGGTTTGAGTCATCTTTCTCCTGCGTCTGTACAAAAATCTAAATGTCACCCCAAAACCGTAGATTGTTTCTTTTAAGTGAACAAAAAAGGAAAAGCACAAGTCACACTGTTAATGGAAAACCCAATTGTGTCCTACATCCTTTGGACATCATCAACTCTAAATATTTCAGCTGGGTACACGTATACCACCTATTTGTTCAACAGCAAATTCAGGGGTGCTCTGAGAGTAATTGCAGCTAACACAACCCTAATCTTTGAGATATTTTACAATTCAAAACCAAATTCACTAATACAAAGTATGATTGAAAATTATTTTTACAAGCGTATTTACAGCTAATACTTTGAACTTGTGTAACTAAGAACTGTACCAATACCCAACTTCCGGTACATAAGGCGCCATTTACGAGTTAATACAAAAGAGCAGATGTGCTGCAACCACCTGCAGATGTGCAGTATTTATAACCAGGGGATTCTTTAAGAGATAGCAGTCTGCTTGTGTGGCTTAATGCAATGCAACAGACTGCTTGGTCACTACAAGTTGATTCAAACAGCATGCATTGCTTGTGCCTAACTTTGGACTGCAATAATAAATGTCTTACTTAAGACTGAATATGTCCCAGGGTCACTGTATAGTGCAGCCCAAATCAAACCTGTGAATGTATTGTGATCAAACTCACAAATGGCATGAAGGGAAAACATTTCAATGGTGGAAACACATTCAAAGCCCCTTTTGGACTTAGTATATTTGATTACTTAGGTTGAGACAAAAGGCCCACAGTCTTTAACAAGCTACACCACACTCTCTCTGTTGGCCGATACCAAGACAGCCCTGCGGCAGATGGGGCAAGTGGAGTTTTCGGAGAGCCAGCGATCAATGCAGTGCACGTGATACTCGTGAGAGCAGGGCAGCTTACGTAGCTTGTTACCTTCCGCATATTCTGTTATGCATACACTGCAAGTCTTCAAGGCATCACTCTCACCAAAGTTGCGCATTGCGAGGTTGTCAATCTGCTCTTTGGTTAGCCCTTGGGGCTGGTCCTCGTCATCATCATTCAGGAGGAAGAAATGGGCAAGACGGAGGAAGGGCAATGAGCTCGGCTCCTCCAGGCCGATAGGCGGTCTAGGTCGAGCCCTTCCCCCAGAGGGCGGTGGAGCAGTTGAAAGGCCGTCATCAATTTCAGATTCAGCTGTCCTTGCTCTGACTCCTGTAGCCACAGGTGCCTCATCAACATCAGCAACAGGAGCAGGAGTAGCATCTGGGTGGTTGAGGGCTTCAGCTACATCTGCAGGTGTGCTGGCTCCACGGTTTGAATCTGAAGAGTCAGAGTCTGAATCCATGAGGTAGCCAAGTTCACCGAAGCCAGTCATTATCTGCCTAATCATAGATTGAAGAGCCATTGAGGTTGCCTCTCCCAAACCTGCATCAGAGATTCTTCGGATAGGGATGCGAATAGTGCTAACGTAGGTCCTCACACCAGCACGCTCAGAGCGTGAGAAAGTCCTACGAAATCCACCACGTTCACTCTCATAAAGGAATGTGTTGTTCGAGTTCTGAGAGCGTGAGCGCGTTCGACTGGCAATGCTGTCTCTTTGGCGATATTCGCCTGGACGCACACGGCGCACCTGGAGATCAAGCATAATAGTAGGGGGACGGCGCCCTGCTGCAGCCCCTTCACCCACAGCAGCTTCTCCTTCCTGAGATGCCATATTTCCGGGCTCTGGGACCGTTTCTGCACCCGCCCGAGATGGTTGAACATCACTGTCAGCAGTGCTTTGCCTAGAAGGAACATGTTGTCGAGTCCGAGAACTGCCCTCCATTTGAGGCACAAGAGGCGTATTTGTGGGAGAGTCGAGGCCTTGAGCACTGTGAGCATTATTTGAATTACGTTGATCCAGATTGAGAGGGGAGCGGCTCCTGGCTGTACGTGCCCTAGTCCTGCGAGGCTCTGGACTGGGGCTGCGGGCTCTCCTTTGTCCTCTGCGTGGTAAAGGAGAAAGCGGTGGCTGTACTGTTAGGGTGACAGGTGACCAGGGTGGTTCTCCAAACATCTCTTGTGAAACATCTTGTAATTCAGGCTGTGGTTCCACTATGACACCCAATTCCTCAACCACGGGTTCCTCCACTACTTCTAACTCCATGGGCACCTGTTGTTCTGCAATGGACACTGCAGGATCAGCCATGGACACCGCGGAATCAGCCATGGGAAAATGGGGTTCGGTCATGGTCCTATTGGGATCGGCAATGCTTATCTGGGGATCAGCAATGGACAACTGGGGATCAGCAACGGTCACCTGCGGATCAGCAACGGTCACCTGCGGATCAGCAACGGTCACCTGCGGATCAGCAACGGTCACCTGCGGATCAGCAACGGTCACCTGCGGATCAGCAACGGTCACCTGCGGATCAGCAACGGTCACCTGCGGTTCCGAAACGGACAGCTGGGGTTCCGAAACGGACAGCTGGGGTTCCGCAACAGACAGCTGGGGTTCCGCAACAGACAGCTGGGGTTCCGCAACAGACAGCTGGGGATCCGCAACAGACAGCTGGGGATCCGCAACGGACCCCTGGGGATCCGCAACGGACACCTGGGGATCACCATTTGCCACCACTTCTTGACCCTCTGGAGACTCTTGAGACTCTTGTTCCCCTTCCCCAGCTGCCTGCTGTTCAGCCAGATTGCGATTCACACTGATTTCCAGGCTGAAGCGAAAATCGCCACTGTTTGGATTGGTCTGGCTTACGGCCCGCCATGACTGGTTTCCACGATGACCAGTTCTGGTTGTGTTGCCTGTGCGCCTCACGGTGTTCAGCCAATCTAAGAGACTGTCCCCATTGGCAGGATCCTCAGAGTTTTCTGGTGGTTCTGAAAATCAATAGAGTTAAGAAGTGAAAAATCATATCTGAATTTGACATTACATAAGTGAAAACTAGACAAACTTACCAACTGGATCTTCTACACTTTCAGTGCTGGGAGCATTAGTATTGTTACTATGCTGATCAGGACCATCCTTTATTTGCTGAAGTCTACTAAACAGCTCATCCTCTGTCACCTCTCCTGAAAGACATATTACAAAAGAAGAGAAACTAATATTAAAAGAGAAAATCCACATATTACTTTAAAAACCATTATGTGTTTATTACACTTCCTCTATTCTAGTCTGACCGCCAAGGTTGGATAGAAGAAAGACATTTGCAGATGCTGGGAGGAATTCAAAGATGAACTCCCTGCAATTAGAACAGACATTTTCCTATTTAATGTATCGACAGAAGACGTCGGCATGGGGAAGCAGTGTGTATGTTTAAATCCACAGTAACATTGCACTATTACGGACATATACAGGGCATATTTTATATGCATCTCAATTGGGGTTTGCAGTTTGCGAGAAGACCTTTTGCTCGTTTGCCCTCAGTTCTGTGTGTCTCAGTCTGTTCTTGTGCGTAGCCTTTGAAGAATAACGTGAGAGTAACGTGGTTGTAGTTGGAAAGAAATGTAACTTTATGGAAATTAACCCTAATTACGATAAAGTTACTTTTCTTTCCAACTACATCCATCATAGCTGTTGGACATAAACCATGAGGGTACCCTGCACCAACTACCAAGTCAAATTCCTTGTATGTCTAACATATTTTGGTAATAAATGTTCCGGATTCCTGATAATTAGTATTGATTCATTAAATTTACAGCGGCATGTTACTGAATGAATATTTGTGGAATGTTGTTTTGGGTCTAAATCTGTTCGCCCAAACTCATAATATATGTTAAGACTTTGACATGTGTGATTCCATTTAATAATAAACAGGGAGAAACATGCTACCTTCCTTTTGGATACATGTATTTCTTTTCCCAGAGTACTGATTTGTATCACATGATACAACAACAATCACCTGAAGCTTGATATCCGCAAAGCCAATGAGCTTGTTGTGGACTTTAGGAGGAGCAGGAGCCCCACAGTCCTGGTTGTCATCCAAGAAGAGGAAGTGGGGAGGGTTGGACTCATACAAGTATCACTCGGTCCAAATCAATAAAAAAAAAAAAAAAAAACTGGACTGGACTCACAACACCTTTGGAAGGGACTGAGCTGACTGTGGTTCCTGAGGAGACTCGGATCCTTCAGTGTTCTCGCGTGCAGATCTTCTATCAGTCTGTAGTAGCCAGTGCTCTGTTCTTCGTGGTGGCATGCTGAAGAGGTGGCAGCAAGGCCTGGAGGTCGGCAGTTTCAACAAGCTGTTAAGGAAGGCCAGCTCGGTGATGAGGTTGGAACTGAACAGTGTGGACGAAGTGGTGGAGTAAAGGACCAGGGCAAAAATCAAAGCCATCTTGGGTAACCCTTCTCACACTTTTTAAAACATGCTGTGGCAGATGGGCGGCTTGTTGTAGACGGAAGGATGAAAAAAGGACAAGATCAAGATCAAGTGGGTGTTTCTCAAAGTCAAAGGATCCTTCAATTGCTGAATTTCAAGGACGCTACGAATTCAAATCCTGCTGAAGAACTGTTCCAATGCCGACGATCCTTTGAACTCTACTGAAGACTTACTACCTTTTTCAGTGGATGTCAAGTAGGGTGTGTGTGCATCCTCTGCGATCCATTATCATGGGCATAATGCAGCTCATGTCCGCGAATTTGGAAACATTTGAGGTATAATGGCAAACTTTGAGTCAGCAGTCCTGCTTTTCATAAACAGATTTGAGGTAAGAAATGGCCAATCCAGCTACTGAACCCTCACTATTGGATCTAAACTGCCCAATATAAAAGTATAGAATTAAAAAGCAGCAGCTGAGTCATTTATTGAGGCTATTAATAGCACCAAAGGCAGTACTAGCAGAGATGGAGGTAGAGCAAGTCAATTTTCACATCAATCTTGGGGAATAAGGGCTTAATATCGACCAAACAAGATGGTTTTGAAGAGTTTTATTTTGCTTGTCAAGTTTGAATAAAGTGTGGTATGTTTCGTATGTTAATTGTATGAACATACACAATTGTATGAATTCTAATCATTGTACAAATCCCTGATAATTTAATTTAATCTTTTAAGACTACACATTTTGAATGTGTGTATATTATGTTTAGAAAAGGGTAACAATTAATATGAGAAAGAGTAATATATTTAATTATTGTAAATAGTGAAGAAATTTAAAACACGTACAATTCTTCCGTACACCAGCACACTCGCTTGTCCATTAAAAAATGTGTTCTCAGAATGCTAGGAAGTAGACTTGCCCGGACACTATAGGGCCAAACTTGGACCAGTTCTACCAAGGAAGCATCCTTAACTTTGAGAAACACCCTGGGAGTGTTCCCTCATTCAAGGTGAGGGTCTAAGGATAAAAGGTTTTTGATGTATAGATTGCATCGGTGCTTCAAGCTCATTTATTGATATAGGGGTATTTAAATAAAATGCATTTGACTTGTCTTGTCTAAGCCTTTTTTTCCTTTCAGTTTACTTAAAAACGATGTAGTTAAAGTGGATTCTAATAGAACTAACGGTGTAGCCGTTTCTATAGACAAAGTATCAAATGTTGATTTTGCTGATATGGAGCTACTTACTCCAAAACAGGGATACGTCATTCACAACTTTCACATGACAGCAGAGATCTACAGAAATCACCAGTTCCAAGGTCGGCACGCGAGATTAGTGTCACCAATTCAGTATCAAATCTAGAGTTAATAGGGTCACAACTCCCACTTCAGTTTCTGAGTTACACCCTTGAATAATCATCCGCAGAACCATGACGCAACATTATGATGTCATAATCAAGTTGACCGTTGACATATTTGGAAATGAACTGGCATCCCTTTATTCTATTAGTTATTTCTTTGAAATTTCGCAATAATAATATTTACAATTCTAGGGTTTTGTCCAAGAACGTGTTTTCACTCACAACAGTGATTCATATGGCGCACGTGGAAACAAAAAAGCTGCAAATCTTAATTTGGGATATTGTCCACCAAAAGTCTTTTACTGTCAAATTTATACTGAGCGTTGAGGCTTTAAATGTCTGTTATAATTAATAAACACTAATGTGTGTTCATACACACACGCACACGCACACACACACACAGCTATATAAAAAAGAAAGTGCATTCAGTTTCATAATGATAAATACTTTGATCAATATTTTGCCTGAAATAGTTACATATATCTTTGGACTGTTAACTTTTAAACTCTACAATGCTTAAGCTATTGGTAATATTTACAAATGCAGCCTGGGTTGGGCTCATGTATGGGCAGTACCAGAAAAAGATTGCAGCGGGAATTCAGTCAGGAGACACGTTTTATAAAAAATAAACTCTTGCAGAAAATGTGTCCACAAAAAAAAAAATGATGTTAATGTTTGTACTGCATTGGCCGATAGAGCAACAAAAGGACATATACTGTAAATCAATGACAACGAGCTGCTCGGGAGATGCAGTGTACATAAAAGGTTTTTATGAAGGAAAAAGCTTGCTAGATTACTCACACGCTTAGTAAAACGAATAGCTGGACTGGCGTGGAGTGACTCGGCTTAAAATTGTAATCACACTGAATACATACAACGTAGCGAGTACTGATACCCGGCCACATCTTTGAGTTACAAATGTCAACATTGTCACCCACACAGATCAGTCACACGACGGAGAGACTATTGTAATTAGATTTTAAAAAATAATAAAAAAGGTTTATTACCCGGGGTGCCCAATAGATTGTTGTCCCTCATGAGACGATAGTCCTCGTCACTTAGATTGTTGACAAACTGGTAGAAGGCCTCCTCCCTGTCCAGGCGGTCCCGCTGCCTCCTGCGTTGTGACTCTGGCTGGTCACCGCCACTCTGCTCTAGACTGTCGGACCCTTCCATTGATTCAGAGGGGAGGGAGGTCGAGGGGATGCTCTCCAATCTTTAGCAAGATCCAGCCGCTGCATCAAAAACAAATAAGATAATATGAACAGTTTATTTAATCACTTTATTAACAATACTCAGATTGAGATTAGGGTGATGCAACAAGGACATGTCTTGTGTCCACTCTGTTAGGTAAGATGAATATAATGTTAACAGTGTATTGACGTAACCTACTGTCTCTGATATTACAACAAGCTAGGGAAACAGTCATCATGGGAAAACTCGAAATACAGCAACACAATGCAACCCAGTACCAGTTGCCGTAAACACAACACAGCTAACGCTAGCCGGGCCATTGCGTTTGACCCCACGTACGTATCCCGAACAAAACACATAATGCCGCTATTCAATAGCTACAACGCGTGTGTGTGCTTTGATGTGGTGTGTATTTCTAGATCCCAGGGGAAAGCAATGTTTTTGACAAAGTCAAGATAGAAAACAAAATGGCATCATCTAACGTTAGCTCGCCTTACGTTCACCAGCTAGCTAGCTAGCTAGTATTGTAACTCCCACGGTTTCAAACACAGGTAACTACAAATCACAATGAGCTATACAAGAGAACCAATTCTTTCTAGTAACAGATAAAAGATATAGACAAAGACTACCGATTGGATGTATGTGATACAATATCATGTGTATTGTCGGCTGAAAACCGGCTTCTTAATAGACCAAACAAGCCCGGCTGTCTAAAGCTTTCACTGCGCTAAAGCTAGTTAGCCGCAATGTCTATGTTAACGTTACATTAGCTAACGCTAACTTGGCCAGTAACTTCCTGATAAGTGTCCTCAGTCCAACTGCCTTGACGTAAATACTATTTTAGCACAAAGCGCTGTGTGTTAGGAAACCGGACGTGAACTTGATATTAATATTGTGTATCGTTACTGAGGAAAACACGAGGATTTCCTTTGGGCATCACAAGCTAACTTAGCAAGAAACGTCAACCAATGACGTTCACCAGAGCAAACAAGCTAAAATTAGCTAGCTAATGCATGTAACGACAATCATAAGAACTATACGATCTGTCACCAAATGTTTATCACGTTACCTGTTCAATAATGTGTGTAGCAGTGTAATCGTACTTCCAAATTGTTCTTCTAATATTCTCTCAGAATTGCTCGACTGTTCAGCTAACTACGATTTCAGGATTCCATTTTCTTTCTTTTAGGAAGGCTACAATGGTCTTCCGGAAGCTGGCCCGGAACCATATTCCCTGGATATTGTCTTACAGGCAGGCACGAGCGCTGCAGCACCAGCGGCTGAAGGGTTGTGGGTGACGTCTCCCGATGGGGGCGAGTGAGCCTGTTACGCCTGAAAGACTAAACTCGGAGCAACAAGAGCTCGATATCTTCTGAGAACAGCGATAGAAAGAGGATGTTTGTGTTGGACGGTGTGGCACCGTGGAGCTGGAGCGTCACGATGCGGTTGGACTTGCAAATACTTTTATCTTCCGCAGAATTAAAAAAAAGAAAAAAAGAAAAGAAAACAGTCCGATGTTGATAATTGTGCATGATATTTACCCTAGCAGCCAATGTCACATCATAAGTCATACTCATAATAAATCAAATTGACTTATGCAACTGTTTTAGTTGTAGGTGTCACATCCCATTTGGACAAGTTGCGTGTGTTTTAATCATATTTTTGAACAAAGGAGAGATTTTGATTTAGCAGTAAAAACGTACAGTTACGTACTGAAACACCATGTGCCATTAATTCGTTACTGGGTTGTTTAGTTCCTATTGTTGGACAACATATTGTTGTGTACTGTGAAAAAACACGCCGTCGACAGTCGCCTTAGGCAGTGTTGTATCCCACATCATTGTTTTGTTGCAGTATTAACTCACTCAATTCTTTAAAAAGGGATACTGGAGAGTACTGAACTCCTTAAGTCCCATTGATAAACAGGCTGGTGCCGCTATATGTCCATCGTGGTTGGGAACCTAAATAAATAAACAACCACATAAACAATTGTACTAATGAGATACCCTCTGACTGCAGTGTGAGGATGTACCGACAAAACGGTCTCATTTAATCACCACAGGTGTATCTGATTCATTGCATTAGACATTCTGTCTTTTAATTTGCCTGTTGCCTTATTGGCCATGGGTGACTAAAGAACAAAAGCAATGCTAATACCACCTGACAATTTTGGAGGCATACATCACAGAATGTGTTATGGTCTGAGACAGTATCTCCAGCTCCAATTAAGCATGCCAGAATGAGTTGCAGTGTGGACCACAGCAGCCCAGCTCAGAGTTATGGATGAGCAGTCACTCTAGCAGTGCCTGACCCTGAGTGCTAATTAGATATGACATTAAAATAACATGAGCCAAAGACAGACTTGTGCAGAAATTAAATGCCTTGCGTTGAATCAACTTCCAACACAACAAATAACAACGGACTAATTGGAGTAACTGAGTTTATAACAGTAAAAAGGGTTATAAAGATTATTTTCTTCCCTGTTACTATTATTGTAGAATACCACAAAGATTGGGTGGGTATTTGCTTAACAAGCAAGTTAATTACACTTCACTCGAGACTTCTCAATAAGCTGTTTGTATGAAGCTAAACTCTGTGTCATACTTTCTTTTGGTTGTTGTTTTGGATGCACAGAAATCGAGAGTGAGGAGATTCTTGGATATTGTAGTTACTGGGTGAAACAACTGGTGGGCGGTAAAAAATACAACCCAACGCTCTTCAGAAAGCAGCATTCAAAATCTTATTTTAATTTGTATATTTACTCCATAAACATTATTACAAAACTCAGCAAGTTACCAATATTACATTATCACCATACAGGCTTGATCACAAATATTTAAAACTTTTGCAACAGTTACAACAAAACAAAAAACTAAATGATACTCAAATAATTTACATGAAAATCTATAAAACAGCAAATTGTTCACAAATTATATATTTTTTTCCAGGTTTTCATTTTTTTTTCTTTGCTTATTTGTGTTTTGCACAGTAACACAACACTCTCACAACAAGATCATGGTCTTATTACAAAACTCCCAACAAAATGTAAATATTTCTAGTTTTCTGTTGATATTCATATTTTGGTTTTTAAAACCAGAAACTTGTCATTGTATATCCTTTCCACTGCCCATAGAGGCGCATAAAAGGTTACTCACACACACAAATACTTCACAGCACTTTCTAAGAAAAATATACACTTACAAAATATGTTACAAATTGGCACACAAAAAATATACAAGATTTTGTAGTGTCAAGAGTTCATTAAGATTCCTTCTGGTAACAACTCTAGACAGTATATATAAAGCTCGGTAATCTTTTAATGAAAAGAGCGAAAGTAATTCCAATCAATGTTAAAGAATCATGAAGTGAATACATCGAACATAACATTATAATATACATTCATAAAGAGGGTTAGGTACCTAATCTAGTTTGCATTTATTTTTTGTTAACTCTGGGAGAAAAAAAAATCAAAATGAAAAAAAAAAAAAAAAAATTGTCAGCTTTCTTAGCACCATTAACATGAGGCAGCTCAACAGTGGCACATTTTATAAACAAAAAGAAGAAATGAAAATAAACTATGAACTCAGAGAAGTACATTCAATTTGACAATAGGCAGAAATGAGAGAAGGCAGACTAAATGGGCTTGAAGCCCATGTGGAGCTTCCCATCAGCAGCTTGTCTTGGTCCTAACCCTGATACACGGGAGAAAAGAAACAAAGGATCATGGCAGAGAGAAAAGAGACAGAGATTGATTATGATTCTTGCCATATGCAAGCAATCAATTGCGATCACCTCACAATTACCATATCCAGTGTGACAAAGCCTGTTTTTGAATCACGTCTGAATTTGTCCACACATTTCCATGCAGTCTCATATAATTACTACTATGTTTAGAAAAGAAATTTAACATTCAAAAGAAAAAGAAAATATATGCCTGTTGTTTGAGCACATATTTATAAAAGATCATCTTATAACCAGTTGAAGGGGCTCCATTTCCCCTGAAATACAGCTACAAAAAATGATAATATCACTCATTAAACATGATTGTATGGTTTAATTTAAGGTGGATTTGTTTTTGTGCAGTGAGGCAGTGAATGAGCCCAAAGTAATTCATATAAATGGCCCAGGAATACACTGGATCATATGGTACAAATACATTTTCTTTTTAAATTTGTGCCTTTATTTGGCCTTTTTTTTGGTGACATTACTTCTGCCAAAATATTGACCCATCAAAACTGAAATGACAGTTAAAGACACTTTAAAAGAAAGTACCTTCAAAAGAAAGAAGTTAAATTATGACATTTGATAAATCAACCAAAACAATCAGATAACAAATACAGTGGTGCAAACATATGGCAGTGTTAAGAAAAAAATGACATGAGGATGTCAGGAAAAACTACTGTTTAAGTTACCATTTCAGGTAAGATAGACGTAAGGTTCCCACGTGGAGCTAATGTAAAGACATGCTTTCCTTCATTTACAGGATTACTGATTCCTTTTGTACTGAAAACTGCTTTCACATTCACATTAAATCTAACTGCAAACATGGTATATCCATTCATTACTGATCAGTCTATGAGTAATAAACTGCCTTGAATTATTTGTACAAAACAGCAATCCAGTGAGGCACAGCCCCAACTGACAAATCATTTCCTTGCTTATCCTCAAACATCTGCACTACACTCTCCTTGGTCAGGAGAAAGCTCATTTGAACCTCTCTCTTTTTTATGGTCTTCATCTACAGTAGCCTTCAGAGCCGATCTCCTCTTTGTTGCTTCTTCGTGCCAGGCGATGTTGAGGTAAATTGAATTTGGCAAACAAAGTGGGGTAAACGAGGAGAATTCAGAGTCTTTTGATTTGGTTTAGTGAGTGGAGGTGTACCACTGCCAGCTGTTGGTGCCTTTCATCAGAGAAGAGAGAAAAGTCCCAAATAAAGAATTCCTGTTGTGGCAAGTCTTTGCGAGGAGTCTCCAGCCCGAGCAGCCAATACTCCAATGGATAAAAAAGAGCAACAGCCAATATTCACACATATATAAGAGGTCATTTACACAGCATTGTTACTTTTGGCACATTGATTTTAAGATTATAATCATCTTTTTTTGCAAATATTGCATGTCCCTGTACAACAACATTGACAAAAATACTCTGAGGGTGGAGCTTTTATGAATTTGCAAGGCGTAAAAATGTAAATTTAGATAACCAGTTCCTCAAAACTCCAGAGGAAAAAGAAATGCTTGATAAAAGAAAATGGGGAGTCATTCCAACTTTGAGGGGGTGAAAAAAAGACAAAGTCTGATATGTCATCATTACAAAATGGTCCCATCTTGTGTTTTCAAGATGTCTTGGGCTTAAAAGGGCTCATTTATTGTAGGTTTCCTTCTTGAAATGAGCCAGGCAGTGTATGAAGGACAGCAACAACAGGACATCCATATTCTGCATACAAAAACAGATGAGGAGGAGGGGTGCGTAGATGTCACTCAATGCATTTGTGTATATAGCTACATCTTTAGGGGAAGGGGGAATAAATACATAATTCAGGGGAGCTAGTTCTGCTTAGAAAATACAAAAACAAAGTTCCTCAAAAAGGCGACAGAACTGTTTTCAAGGCTTATTCTTTTTTTCAGACAAAAATAAAAACAAAACGACTATAAGAAGAACAAACGAAGCAGGAACAACAAAAGCAAGAAAAATGCAGCCATGGTCGTTTCAAATCTCAATCAAGCTTGACACAATCACTCAATAGGTAGTTTGCAAAGTACAAGAAGTTTATCATGCAGATATTAATTTCCTCTTCGGGTGGGGGTTAAAAGGAAGTGGGAGTAGTCAGGGGGAACGTAGTACTCATGCAGCTCTGGCATAGCGTCAGTGTAGGTATGCTTGGAGGGGAGGGCTGAGCAGGTAGTGGGGGGAAGTGAGAAGGGGGTGCAACAGCAGCTGATAACAAAATATTACCTCAGTTTCTCAAACGAGGTCATCAGTGCTATGTCCTTATTTGGGTCTCTCTCAGCTCGCTTCCCCTTCATTGTCTCAATCCGTGGGAACTTTGCACTGGTCTTGTGGCGGTACAGCTTTTTGTGCGCAGGCCCAGGGTTAATAAAGTTGGGTTTATCAAACATGTTGCAGCCAAGAGCTAATTGTGGGAACAAGGGATGAGAGGGGTTGAATTTGGCCTGGTTCTTTCCTCCCTTTCCCCCCGCCTTTCTGCCTCTTCCAGCCCCTGTTAGCGTGGCCCCCTTTTTCTTCATGTCGGCCTCTGTGCCTGCCAAGATTTTGAGGGTCTTTAGGTTGAGGCTATTGGCCTCAGATGGCATACAGGCCTCAGACATGGGGTTCCACAGTGGCTCAATGGAGGCCATCATGAACCTTTGGACCTCAGCCATGCCAGAGACAATATTGGACAGAATATTTGAGGGCTCCTCAAATTCCCTCTGGTCGTCCCCAACCAGGCTATTGCTCTCCGACCAACCGGGGCCGGACCAGTCCCCCGTACTGCTACTGTCAGTCAGGCCTGTGCCACAACTACCTGCCTGGTTCTTTGCTGCCTTACCCTCCAACATGGCCTTTATCTTTTTGGTGGAACGTGAGTTCTGTTTGGGGGTCTTGACCTTTTCGGACTTCGGGGCTCTAGGAGCCCGAACTTTCTTAGGGCTCTGTCCTGCGGCTGTCTGTTTGCAATTTCCTTTCCTCTTTGACTTAATGCTTTTTGCACCGGCCAACCCCTCCCCACTCTGTTCATCAAATTCGTTAACCCCCAGCTCCTTCTTATCTAAGTGTAACACATCCTGACTGCTGAAGTTGTGAAGCGGAAACTGGCTGTCTTCCACTGTGTACGCATTTGCTGTGTGCTCTTGTTGCTGCATAACGTCACAGTTCCACTTTGCCTCCCGGTTGCAGTCCAGGGTCATGTCATTCACATCCTGGTATTCTCCGGCATTCCCTGCCATCTTCATATCACGCCCCACCACCTGGGGAGACAGGTTGGGGGTCTCAGGAGGGGAGAGCTCTGACAGTGATGAGTGTCTAAACTTGTCGGGGGTAAAGTTGGAGATGTCCAGCAGGTCTGAAGACTCCCTGAGTGGGGTAAGGGCGTCCACACTCTGCTGAATCACCACTTTAGGACTGCAATGAGCTAAGAAGCTGTCTCGGCCCTCCTCCTCACCCTCTCGTTCACAAGACTTGAGGCTGAGGGAGCTGTAATTGCTGGAGGAGGCTGACAGAGAGCCGACTGAGTCATAGCTGATGAGCCTGCCATTGTCTGTGCACAGGGACCCTCTCTGGTATTGCACCTGACCCTCCACAGGAGCCGACTGACACACTTGCAGATCTGTCCCGGGCTGCAGCCCTGCCTCTGTCAGATAGCTCTTCTCATAAAGCAGCCTGTCAGCCTCGGGGCTCAGCTGGCTGTAGTCAGAAACTGGTAGGCTGTCATTCAGGGGCACAGTAGCTGGGAAGTTGCTGGGTAAAATGGGAGTTTCAGGGGTCTCAGGGCCAAAGCTCTGACTTGAACAGAGCTGCGAGTGCCACATCTGGGGGAAGTTGGGGCAGTTCTGGGGAGACTGCTGGAGCTCCGACTCGGAGGGAGGAGAGAGGACGCAGCTCTGAGCGAGCTGCAGAGAAGGAAACTGTTTCTCCTCGAGGGAAAGCCCCAAAGGATACCGCTGCCTAGAGGGCTGCTGGGGGAAATAAGAGATAGCGGCTCCACCAGAGGAGTCCGTGGCATCTAACAGGGTCTGCAGGTAGCCCCCCGGGATAACAGGGACACCCGACTCCACCGCCTCCGAGGGGGGGGCTTTGTTAGGGGAGCGACTGGACGACACAAAGGGGAATTTCTCCTCGGATGTATGAGTGGCAGTGTTATTGTCACAGAGATGGGGTTTGACTGTAGTTGAGCTAATGCCTGCCTCTTCTAACCCGGCAGCAAGCTCCCCAATCGGTGCCGCAGCGACACAGGCGTCCGTTTCATCCGTGGCGCTCCTCCCCTCTTCTCCCTCTGCCTCTTTCATTTTCTTGCTCCTCAGCCTGGCTTCGCTTTTGAATTTCCTTATCCTGACGGTTTTATTCCCCCCCAATCTCCTCCCCTCCCTTTCCTCCCTCTCCTGGGAGCGACTCTTGGCTGTGACTGTGTGCGTGATGGAGTTTGTGTCTAATGTTACTGGGAGGCCTGGGGCTTCTATTGTTCCCCCTACCGTGGGGGTGGCCTCTTCTTTAGTTACACCTCCCTGGCCCCGATCAGAGAGAGGGGAGCACTGTACTGTTGCTGATTGCTCCACAGCGTGAATCCTCTGAACCTTAAGCCTGTTTGCAATCTTGTATTTCCTTTTGGGATGGCTAGAATTAAAAGGGCGATGATGGCGTCCGTTTAGATGAAAACCGCGTTGCTGTTTATCTCTGGCAGCCAGCTTAAGCTGCTCCTGTCTCTCTCTTTGCTTCTCCTGCCAGAAATCCTTCAGAGGAGCCAGTGTCTCATATTTGGTTACTGTGTCTGTGTTTAAG